GGCACCGGAGAGACCCACACTCACATGGTGTCAGCAAGGGGCAGCAAAGACAGGCGTCAGAAACCGGATGGACAGTGCCCAGTCCACCACTGGACTACATACCGCTTGCAGGTCCTCAGTGGGGTTCCTAAAACCTCTGCCAGCAGTGGGAGTTAGAATGACCTCGGGGATGATTGCCAGGTCTCAATCTTAGTCAACCAAGTGGAGGAGTTCTAAGGAAACACACACACAGCAAATCTTGTCTGCATTCCTTTGTGCTTCTAAAATTGGTGTCAAATGTATAGTCAAATCTATAAAATAGTCTTCTAAAATACATGCTGGTTTCTTCTTTTAAATCTAAAATTAGAACTTTTGCTGTGGTTGTTCACATCCTTCCACAGAAAGAGACTTTTTAAAGAAATATTTAAGGTGAATCCATAAAGATAAAAGAAGGGAAAAAAGCATCTCACCAGCTACGGAATTAAAGCAGTACTTATTCATAAACAAATACACATTCTTCCAATCGGCCTGCCTTTCTTAAAAACCAGTCACCTGGGCCAGGGATTTAGCTCAGTGGCACCGCACCTGCCTTGCAAGCACCAGGTCATGAGTTTGATCCCACAAACCAGTCACCTAAACAAGCTACCTAATGGTTACCCTCGTTTAATTTCTCCAAGGATTCAACTACAGTGTAACACTATTGAGGGGCCTCTGGAGAAGAAAACATGCTCATAGTGCAATTATTTAAAGTAAAGAAAACTCTAGTACAAGTTTACATGCCCAAAGTAGTCACAACAGAATAAATCTAACCATTAAACAATTTACTTCAACAGAGCTCCTGGGGCTGCTCATAGGTCAACAATTACACGGGACTGGGTGAGCCCCCCTGGAAAGGCCTGCGACGGTGACCCAGTGCCAGGGAAACCATGCTGGCTGAGCCCCTGCAGCAGTGATGCTGCATCCCCAGCTCAAAATTCAGATTTTAAAAATGACTCTGTCCGGGCGTGGTGGCGCGCACCTGTGATCCTAGCACTCAAGGGGCTGAGGCAGGTAAATCGCCAAGAATTTGAGGCCACCCTGACTACACAGTGAGTTCAAGCCCAGCCTGAACTGCATAGTGAGACCCTGTCTCACAAACAAGCAAAAGAGCCTCTGCCCCTCTGAGAAAGTAACAGCTCAACACAAGGCAGGTGTACTGGTGTTAAACAGAAGGCTGAAAAGTGCGTCCTCTGGTGCTATAAAGGAGCTCTTCTTTGTCCTTAATGTCTTTTATGAATAGCTCCCCCACCTGTGGGTAAGTAAGCGCCCTTCTCCCGGCTTTCAGCTGCCCCAGCATATGCAGCCGTGGTGCAGGGTGCGGACCCTGCTGTGGCCAGTCTCTCTGAACAGCGGACGCCAACACGGCGCAGGACTGAGGTGCAAGGTCTCTGGATAAAATCTGGTTTACGTTCTAGACCTGGAGCTTGGCTTTTTCATCCTCAGTCTCTTGACCTGTGGAACCACTACCTGCTACAAACTAAGAGCTCATCGAACCCTAACCACACCCCCTACTAAGATTACTTAGCACAGGCATCTGGCACTATAGTGAGCATGAAACCCTTTCAGAAGTTTAGAGAACAGAGACTGGAGATGGAAGTAAGTGATAATCTTCGGCTCGGGCCAGCCCCAGCTAGAACAGGGCCAGAGCCCATCTCAGCATGCCGACAGCAGGAGGCACAGGACACCAGGGCGAAGGCCGAGAGCAGAGGCTGCCTCTCACTTGTCTTCGTGAGGGAGGAAGGCACTGCGGGGTGGGTTGTGCTGTGTACACCCAATACAGTCACATTTTCACCTGGACCTTCAACACTGCCAGGAGAAAAATCATACTTGCCAACATGGTCTGTGTCAGTGTGCCAAGTGTAAACCAGTAACTCCACTGGTGCAGCACTAGGAAGCAGACTGCTTACCCGCAGGAAAGGCAGCCCTGTGTGAACACCAGGACACTGCCCACCCCGCACAGGCCTAATGGCACGCCACACACCAGGAGATGCAGACATGAAGACAGAAAGCAGCTGTGGCACTGTCACTGAGGAAGACCTGACACACACACCCAAGGCAGGGGACAGAGATCCTTCAGGCACTGTCCCAAGGAGATGCCGGGCAGGCTAAGTCAAGAGAGAGACAGAATACACTCACAGAGGTTGGCACCCACTGTCCCACTGACAGGCAGCCGTCTTCAAGGAAACGGGGCATTCCAGCAGGGCTAACGCTGAGTCACGGAAGCACAAACGCAATCAATGCTACACAGAGTGGTAAGAGAAGCTGGGAAGGCAAGAAGCACACTGAGCAGAATAACCTTGATTACCCCAAGGGACATCTGATCACCCCGAGAAGGCTCCAGCCACCTCGTAGGAAGTCTGACAGCCCGAAAGCAAGCTCACACCAGCCACGAGGAGTGACCGAGCAAAGGCAGAGACACCAGCCCGCTCCCCTCTCCTCCAGCCAGCAACACTAAACCAGGCGCCAGACGCTTGGCAACAGACCTTGTGTCCCCATCAGCTTCTGTCTGCAACTCTGAGTGGCCCCAAGGCAAACTGCTCAACTGAACTGAATCCACATAGAAACTATTTTAAAACATTATACTTTGGGGTAGATTTTTACAGAAGAGTTGCCCAAGGCTTCATCGTACCTCATTCTCCAACTTTTCACCAAACTTCCCTGTGCTGCTCACAGCTCCCCATACCCCTTCCGCACCAGTGCTCAACAGTCTGCTGGGAACAAGGCCTCTGGGGAACCCCATCCCTGTAGGCTTAGGGAACCTAGTCCAAGTGCAACGTGCTCCTGCCAGGTCACTCCCCTCTCTTCCGAGGAAGACGCCCTCTACTATGCCAGGCTCACCAGCACAGGAGGTCATCCTGTTTTCTCTCCTGGGTGGCAGCGCCCATTAGAGGACCTGGTACTTAACAGACAATTAGCCTGTCATCTACGAATGAGCAGATCAGTCAATCAAAAACAAGGAAAGGTAGGGCCAGGGATTTACTTGATTTTGCTGCCTGCTGCACAAGCGCAAGAACCCGAGTTCGATGCCTGGTACCCAAAAAAAAAAAAAAAAAAAAAAACAAGGAAAGGTAAACTAAAGGTTTCTTACACAAGCAATTAAACTGTCCCTTATTTCTTTAAAAAACTGCTTTAACAAAAGGACATAAATCCCCTCAAGTCCACTCACTGAAAACACTCTTAGCCCTTTCTTCAGCACTCAGAGCTCAGTTTAACCTGACTTATGTTTGTTAGCATTTTTTTTCCAGTGAATATGACACAAGATGTGTCTGAGTCATATCACAAAGTCAGTGACAGGAATTGCCAGAACAAGGAAGTGTGGCAACATCTCAATCCATGCTAGGAAGCAGTCACTAACTCAAATGATTAAGCTATAAAATTTCCTTCCTACTGGGAGATTTAAAAAAAGGCTTGATTTAAAAGAATCATCACAATCCACCACACTGCTGTGTTTAATCTCCACTTCTGGCTCACTTATTTTACTTCCTAGACAAGAGTGGCTGGATCAGTCCAAAACTGTGTCATCTCCTGACAGACTAATGATTTTTACTGGTTTGTGTAGCTCCATGATGTCAACTGCTGAGTACATTAAACTTTACCGTACAGGGCAATCATCATTTGATCTCAGGCTCCTCAGTCACCTGGTTACCTGATGCTTCAAGGAAGATGATAGGGCAGCCAGAGATTACTACTTATCTGGACAACCTTGTGCTTAAGTCTGGCTATCTGAAGAAGATTTAAAGATAAAAACCAAGTTGTAGCTTCTCTAGAGCAGACAGGTAATTTTAGGTATTGAACAGAAAATAAAACGTTTTCTTTCCTTCACATCAATATTCCTAACTCACTCTTGTCACATCATTAGGGAAACACCAATGCATTCAGGATTTGACTAAAATCCAAACCTGATATTCAGAGCCTTCCTCGCCTTTATCTGCTTTGTATTCTCTGGGACCCCAGCTCCTTTGCATGAGCTCTCCCTCCATCCCTCCATTCAGAATCTCTGCTCCCTTCTCATCCTCATACTTGACTCCCAAACTCTTCCTGTCACCCAGGTGTGTGCCTTTCCCCTACAAGCCTGAGAGTCCACAGAACTGACACAAGGTTCCCAGGAGTGTGCCTGCCCCATCAGTGTGGAATTTCCATTCTCATAAAACTTCCCTATGAAGTTCATTCCCTCACTCAAAACTTACAGGGGGTCAACTGCACCAAGTACTGTAGCGGTCACTGAGTGTCAAGGGTCACTCACTCACACAGGGCACCGGGCACCATCGACAGAAGAGTGCCATCATCCTTCCTGCTCTCCCCTCGCCTGAGCCTCACAGACCCAATTCAATCCCACCTGGCCCCACGGGCTCCGTGTGCAGCGCCACCTCCGGACCCCACGGAAATCCTCTCCACCTGGCTGCACTCAGGGACGGGTGCCCTTAGCCTGAGAAACAATGCAGGATGAGGAAGGGTGAGACTGGGAACAGCACTGGAGACACTGGCTGGCGTGACTGGGGGTGAGACTGTGAAGAACAAGGACCAGAAACACTGGGGTGACCACGGGGTGAAACACTGAACAGCACCGACTAGAGAGATCGGGGCGACGGAGGCTGCGACTGTGGCACCGACTGGCTGAGCTCCCAGCCTGCCCATCACTGCTTCTGAACCCTCAGACTAAGGCTCTCGGACTTCGGCTGTCTTGGGAAACAAAGGTACACGGACACGGTCCCCTTCCTAGACAGCGGTGAAGAACGAGGGACGTGGCCAAGGGTTCAAGCCCACTGAGTCCGTGCTTGGATCGATAGGTGTCAGAGCCGGGCAGCGGAGGGCGATGGGGGCGGGGCCCGGCACGCGAGACCAACCCGGGCCCACTCGGGCCCACCAGACCGCAGGCCTCGGTCCTCCGCCCCAGCACCGAGCTCAGGTCGGTGGTCGCACCGCGGAGGTACGAGACGCCGCACTGCGGCCCAAGCCCCCGCCCCTCCCGGGCCTGGGCTCACCTTGGTGGTCGTACACGCTGATGTACGAGATGCCTACCGCCATGGCCCACACCACCAAGCTCGCCACGTCCGGCAGGCTGCGCTCGTCCTCGGTCAGCATCAGCCCCACGTGCACCGGCAGCTTCCGCAAGGCGCGGCCGTCCGAGCGCCAGCGCAGCCGGGCCAGGCCGGCGGAGCCCGCGCGGGCCCTAACGGGGTGGCGCCGGGGCCTCCCGGGCGCCGGGGGCTCGCGTCGTACGAAGCCGAGCGGCGCTAGGACCACGGCGGCGGCGGCGCGGCAGCAGCGCCTCCAGGCCCACGTCCAGGCGCCGAAGCGGGCGCGCAGCCGGGCGGACAGCGCGCGGTGCAGGCAGAGCAGCGCGTGCAGCAGCCGCCACGCCAGCTCGTGCGGGCCCGTCATGCTCGCTCCTCGCCGGGCGCCCGCTACCCCCTGCCGCCGCGGCGGGCCATCTTCACTCCGCGTCCGCCCGCGCAGGCACTTCGACCGCCATCTTCCCCGCCCGGCGCCCCACCCCGTGGTACCTGGACGGCGCTCATTGGCTGGTGCGGGCTGTGACGCGGCGCGGGAGGGAGGGCGCGCACAGGGACCGGGGCGGACCGTGCGCCCAACGCGCCCCTGGCGGCGCGGAGGACCAGCAGCAGGCACTGTCGGCTTTCCGGGCCGACTCCGGTAAAGGACGAACAAGCGGCGCGGGCGGGGGCTCCAGGCCCGGCGTCCCACAGCCGGTGTCCGAGGAGCACGTGATCAGGTGGATCGCAACTTACAAACGCTAGAAAGGACCCAGGTGGAAATGGTTCACGCTGCAGATCGACAAGCCCCCGCGAGGAAAGTGCCCATTAGAGAGCTAACCTCCCTCCAGCGGGGCTGCCTCCCGCGCCCAGACCGAGAGTGGGGCCCCGGGAACGGAGTCCTGACGGGCGGCCCCGCCTAGTCATCTGGTCGCAACGCTGTTTCATTCACTCACTCATTCATTCATTCCGGAATCACCGAGCCAGGCTGACAGTGGCAGGAAGATGGACCCGAGGTGGGCTCAGTCTCTACTCCGTCTGCCCTGTGACCATCCTGCCTGTGCACCCGTGCTCGGCCTGTCTGCACTTCACAACGACCTCCAGGCCACTTCTGTCCTGTGCTCCCCAGTTCTGCCCCTTCGCTCAAGCTGTTCCTGGCCGAATGCCCGTTTCCCACCTAGGCCTTGGCCCAGTCCCAAGCCATGCTCCGGGCTTGTCCACTCCAGCGCCGCCCGCAGTCATCACAGAACGTGTGCAGCGTGTAGTCCTGCATATTGCTGTAGACACACACACACACAGGTAGGTACCGATGTGCAGATTTGCCAGTGTCACACCCACTTCATCCCCTTTTCCTGCTGGGAAACGTCTGTTAATTTGTTGGCCACGTGCTTTTTAGTTGTTTGATCACTGTCCTTTTTTCAGCCAGCCTCACTTGCGTTTCTCAGGCTCACTTGACTTTATTTTCAAACTCGAATCTATGTCCACCTCAAGCCACCCTGACAGCAAGGCTGTGGACCTGTCACCGGCCCAGATGCTCGGCCGGGACAGTTCTGGGGTCTGCCCTGCACCAGCTGAGAGTGCCTGGCCCTGCTCCCCACCAAGCTGCTGCTGTGAGTGCTGCCTTCCACGGTGCTGTGCTCGGGAGCATCCCTAGCGTCCCCAATGCCCACCCCACACTGCTCTGGAGAAATACACTTCCCTATCCCAGGGCTTGCGTCCGATAAGAATGGAGCTCAGTTTCAGTCCCCTGCCACCTTTTCAGGACACGCTGGCTATGTGTCTTTGTACATCTTTGAATGAAAAACACAGCAGGAGGATTCTGGCCACACCCCCATCTGCCAGTGCCCTTTAACAGGCAGACTCCGGTTTGCTCCCCAGTGGTTCGTTCTCCTAACCAGGCAGACAGGTTAACGAGTCTCCTAGCTCAAGGGTGTTTAGCCTCCTAAGAGAGAGGGTAATGGGGCTGCTCTTCTTCTCTGACAGCTTGCAGTAAGACAGGAATGGGTGGGAAGGTAGTTCAGCCTTAGGTCCTTCGCCAGCCTGACCCGGCTGAGTTCAGTTCCGCACAGGAAACAAATAAGTAAACAGCAGCAGAGTAGGGATGGGCAGGTACTGAGCAGGACCATGGCTTTGTGGCCTTGGACTAAATCCCCCCCACCCATAGTTTTTAAGGAAAACCATCGAATGTGTTAGGAGCATGACCTGAACTGAGGTGCAGGCCTGAGCAGCCTGGCTCCATTCTGGTCCCAGCCGGAGACAGGACAAATCAAGCAGCCTCTTTCGGGGCTTCAGCAGCAGTGGGAGACAGAAACAGGCAGGCCTCCACCCTTCCTGCAGCTTTCTAGGTTCTTGGGCCACAGGCTCAACATGGGTCCTGGCTCCTGTTGTCCCTACCTGCCTGTCTGTAATATGCACATTTCACAGAACCTGTGTGCATGAGGGTTCTGCTTCATCAGACAAGGTGGGCAGAAGTGGTAACCAAAGCAAGGTGGAACCACTTTGCGTCTGTAGTTGTTGCCAACGAGCAGCTGCTTCTTACACTTCCAAGGAGGTAGAGTCAGAGTCTGCTGCTCTTACCCACGCTCCAGCATGCCAGGAGAGCCACACCAGATGTCTTGTGTAGACACATTCAATCCAGTGTCCAATGTGCCCTCACACTTCGAAAGGGTTCCTTATGGAGTCACCTGACAAGAGGAGTAAATGTGGCCCTTTCTGAATGTGGGGAGTTCAGATTATAAAATCAGGACACATAAATATCAAGAGAGATGCAGCCTCAGGAAGGCAACAAGTCCTCAGTGTTGTGGGGATGGTATTGGACTTGCTCCTCCATTGTGAAATGCTCTACGATCATTTAATCCCCACTGTGGAGGTCAGGTGGAGACATCTGGGGTTTACAGAACAGAAAATCACTGGAGATGAACAGACAAGCAGAGCTGCCCGTGCCTCCCCACGCTGCGGCTGTCAGGTGGGGATGGCTCTGTGGAGGTTGGGACTGATGTTCGCAGCCCATGGCTGGGCCAGGAGGCTGCCTGGGGCTCAGTGGGCCTCACTGCGGGGTGGGTCTGGCGGTCCCGTGTGACCTCAGGGACTATCCTGGACTGTTCCCCTGCCTGCTCTCGGCTGCCATGAACACTGCATGCAGGACGTAGTTTCCATGAAGCCACTGTCAACACCCTGACCAGTGTTGTACAATTCCAGCCACTGTTGGCACATCACTGTCTCCTGTCAGCAGTTACAGGAGTGCTGGCTGTGCTCTGTGCTCTACATCCTACGCCTGCATTCACTGTTGGAGTGCCACACAGACGAGCTCCGAACCCTAAAATCCTCTCTGCTCCTCCTGAGACTTGGTAACCACTGATCCTTCCCCGTCTCTGCAGTTTTGCCTTTTGGGGTGCTGACAGGTGGAACCCTGCAGCAGGCAGCCTTCCATATCGATCACCCTCTTTCCCTTACCACTATGCACCAGAGGCTGTTCATGTCCCTTCACACTTTCACGCCTTGTTTCTTTTTAGTGGTATTTTCTCACCATTAAGCGTGTAGTTTGGCTTCTTCACCCCATTGATATGATGAGTTTCACTTGTTGACTTTTGAATGTTGAAACAAACTTGCCTACCTGGGCTAAATCCCACTTGGTCACTGTATTCTTTTCATGCCCTGTGGGATCTGATTTGCTATTTTGTTGAAGCCTTTTGCATCTCTGTTCAGGAGCATAAAAGAGACTGGTTTGTAGTTTTCGTTTTTTGTAATGTCCTATTCTTTTGCTGTAGGGGAAATGCCGGCCTCGTTAGATGAGTTAGGAAGTATCCCCTCTGTATCTATCTCCTGAAAAAGATTGTGAAGAATTGGTGTAATCTATTTCTTGTAGGTCTGATGGAATTCACCCAGCTTGGCTGGGTGCTTTCTGTTTGGGAAAGTTATTAACAACTAATTCAACTTCTTTAATAGATATAGGTCAATTCAGATAGTTAATTCCTTGTGTTAGTTTTGGCAGATTGTGTCTTTCAAGGAATTGGCCCATTTCATCTTTCTCCACCTTAAGTTTTTTATGTTTAGTCTGTAAGTTGTTAGATCTGTGGGCCTGGAGCTGTTCACAGAAGCCCGTTATTCACAGAGCCTGTAGTGATGGCCTCTTTCATTCCTATTCTAGTCCTTCCTTCTCCAGTGTCTTTCTTGGTCAGCCTGGCCAGAGGCTTACCAGTTTTACTAGTGTTTTCAAAGAACCAGCCTTTGGTTTTTGTTGATTTTCTCTACCACTTTTCCATATTTAATTTTATTGATTTCTAGTCTAATATCTATTATTTCTTTTCTTCTGCTTTCTTTGGATTTAGTTTGGCCTTCTTTATACAGTTCTTAGAACCATAGATTATTGACTTTAGATCTTTCTTCCTTTCTATTATATCCATTAAAAGATATAAATTTCACACAGTTTTTGCTACATTCTACATATTTTGATCAATTGCATTTTCAGTCAAAGTATTTTTACTTTCTCTTGAGATTTCCTCTTTGACCAATGTGTTGTTTAATGTCCAAGTATCTTGGGATTTTCCTATCTTCTTGTTATTAATTTCTAGGTTCATTATTGGGGTCTAAGAATAGACATTTTTGTTATTTTACATCAATTAAGGTGTGTATTAGGGCCAAGAATGTGATCTACCATAATAAACTTCCCTTGTGAATATGAGAAGCGTGTGTACTCCACTGTTGCTGGACAAGTAGTTGATAAATGTCAGTTATATCCAGTTGATTGATGGTGTTGATGAATTCAACTATGTGCTTACAGATTTTGTACCTTTGAGATCTGCCCATTTCTGTTAGTTGGAAGTGTCCAACTATAATAATGAGTTCATCTTTTTCTTGCATTTCTATTAGTTTTTACCTCACATATTTTGGTGCTCTCTTGTTATGCACAAATACAAATGAAGGATTGTTATATCTTCTTGGAGAATTACCTTTGTCATTCTGCAGTGCCCATCTTTATCCCTGGTGCATTTCTTTGCTCAGAAGCTGGCTTTGTCTAGCTCGGCAAGTTTGAGGCCAGCCTGGACTACATAGCAAGAGCTTGTCTCAAAACACAAACTAGCAGAAAGTTCACTTTGTCCAAAATTAATACAGCGGCTTCTGCTTTCTTTTGATTAGTATTAACATGGTATGTTTTTCTCCATCTTTTTACTTTTTTGACTGTATGTAAAGTGAGTTTATATGTAAAGTGAGGGTTTTATTGGTACTGGGGATTGAACTCGGGTCCTTGTGCTTGCACAGCAGGTGGCAAAACCACTGAGCTAAATCCCCAGCCCAAAGTTTAGCTTTTGTTCTTTTTTTTGAGTTTTTTAATCTTTTTGTAGATAGTGTATATTTGGGCCTTTGTTGCGATTTGTTTTTTCTGAGACAGGGTCTTGCTTTCTACTCAGGCTAGTATTGAACTCCTGGACTCAAGGGATCCTTACATCTCAGCCTCCAGAATGGCTGGGACTGCAGGCATGCACTG